ATATATAATTTCATATAATTTTATATAATTATATTATCTAAAATATTTTTTCCCGGGCTATATTTTTTAATTTAAATGTCGTTCATTTTTAACGAAGTTACAGATATTTGAATTTTGAAGTCCGTAGTGTTGAATTTTTGTTTCAAGAGAGATTGTCGTAAAATATATATATATGACATACATAAAAAATAACAATAGTTACGAAGGATAAATAAACGCATCAAGCATGTGTATGTACACAATGAAACCATTTGCAATAGCAGATAGTCTATTATTAGCGAAATAAGATAAATTACGTTTTCGAGTTAGACTGTTAGATAATTGAGCCGATGCGCTTATAAATTGAGGTGCAGGGATCGTACGCGACATTATTAATATCTGTTTGAAAAACGTGGAAACAACATGATGCGGATCAGTGTTGCTTTTTCGCTATTATGTGTGCTGTGTGGAATAACATCCTCCCTCGCCTTCGTTTTCGAAGACTGTGGTAAGTGCGTACTCTAATTATTTTGGATAACTATTTTTGCAAAGTCGACAGCTGTTACTTCTTCAGACAGCTATCCATGTTATTGGTTTATTATATATTAATTAATACATTAATTGATATATAACATAATACTTAATTATATTAAAAGTTGTACAAGATTATTAAAAGTCATTCATCAATGCAGCAATTTGCGTTGCTTATAAAAAGGACAAATTTGCGCATTAAAATTTAATAATTAATTTAATATGTCAATATTCCGCATATTTTCAAATATCTCATTCCTTTTAAATTTGAATTTTTATTGTGCAATGTAAATAACGAGCGTTTTATTGTTGTTTTATTTCTAATATCTAATATAAAATTCTGAATGATGTGTGGGACATTCTTTTGATAAATTTTTTGGACAATTTTTGAAATTGATTTTATCCGAATAAAAATGTAACTTTGATATGTTAAAAAAATATATTAAAAAACTGAAAGTTTGAAAAAAAAAATTCGAAAAAATAAGATTAATAATTTTTTCGGTATATTAGCTGGGATTAGGAAAAATTATCTCAAAATTTTTTTAAGGATTTATGATAAAAAAGTAATTTTAGAATATTCTATATATGTACACTCTTAATAATCACCTCTCTTCAATTTTCTTAAAGCATCAATAAAAACCATTATTAAATCAGAATTATTTTTTGTTAAGCAAATAGAGATCTACTTCAGAATTATTCTTTAAAGTGAAAACATTATTTTTATTTTCTGTTTAAAAGTGCAATTATTAAAATCAATAATTAATTTCCATTGAAGAAAAGAAATTAACAATAAGGTAAAATGCAAATAATAATTAAATCCGAATGTTTTATATGACAGTATATAAGAATTAAGAATCTTATGAAATCGAAGCTCCTTGTTACTAATTGTGTATTATCCATGCTTGGCTTTTATCGTTAATTACAAATTGCAAGGAGACTATATATTTACACATTGAGGATCTTTAATCAAGAATGTAATTGCCGGAAACTATTAGCAACATTACACGTTAAGCCATTTAATTACGTATATCCTTTGGATGTTTGTTTGATTAATGTATAATTACGTCGTAGTTTATACGTACCTTTCTGTTACTATAAAATGTAATTACAGAGCAAATCAGCAATATAAAAAGAGCACCTTCACGCGATGCAGTTGTTTGTGTGAAAATAAACTTATTTGTTTCAATTAAATTAAATTAAATTAATGTGTTGAATAAACATTTATAATACTAACAATAAATATACATGTGTATAATGCAAATTATGTTTGTGATTTATGAATTTTAAATTTATTTCAGGTTCAGAGGCAGGCAAATTAAATGAGATCTCAATTTCAAGCTGTGATGTGTCCGATGAGAAATGCTCATTACCCCGTGGCAAAGACATAAAAGTATTCATCAAATTTACACCAAGTTAGTAAAATAATTATATTTTAGTCATATACTTTTTTTAATAGAAAAAATTTGGTTTTTCTTGGAGAAATGCATGATACATATACATATAGATGGTCAAAATTTTACTTAGAATTTCCAATTATAATTTTACAACAGAGTGTAATATAATTATGTTTATAAAATATTAAAAAATAAGTATTATATTAATATATATTTTGCAGGTAGAGATATATCGGATATCACAGCACATGCGTTTGGCGTGTTGCTCGATGTGCCTATACCTTTTCCTCTGAAAAATTCTGACGTGTGTAAAGATTCAAATTCCGGAGTCAAATGTCCTTTAAAGAAGGATCAGGAAACTGAGTTCAAAAATATATTCAATGTGGATGAGAAGACTCCTGCAGTAATTTCTCTTTAAATCACACGTTTGCAGTCCGTGTATATTAGCCTACGACACATGCCGTTGTTGCTTATTTTCTTGCTGATTTAGCTGATAGATCCGTTGCGTGCTGCTTTGTGGCTGCGTTGCATATTGCTGTGATGAAAGTGCTGCTAGTCATGGCTTGACACGTGTTAACACTTACGAGTTAGCTTGATGTTTCATGAACAATATACAGACGTACACATGTAAGATGTAATACACAATAATATATTATACAGACTTTAATTCTTTGTGCAGCATTAATTGTTAAGGTAGTTTGAGTTATATCCCAGACAGCACACAATATTTATAAAATATTTACAAAATATTTATAAATATTTATAAGATTTATTTTAAATATTTT